TAAAAATTAATTTAAAATAGAAAAGAAAAAACCACCTTTAGTTAATAGAATTGAAAAAAGTTTTATGTTGCTTTTCTATAGCTACCAAATTATAGCATACAAAAGCAAATGCAAAACTTTTTTTTACAGTCCTTAAAAAAAAAATCAAGTAATTAAAAACTTGCCAAATTATAAAATAAATTCGAATAGTAGCACTTTTTCTTTAATGCTCACCAACGTACTAAATTATTTTATGTAATTAAATGTTCTTGCATACTTTTCGGAGAAAAAGAGAAAAAATTAAGAGAAGCATTGAAATTTTTGCTTATAACTTGAGAAGTTTTAGAGGCTGAAAAACAATAATATGAGAATTAGAGCCTGATTGTGTTATTTACTCGTCAAGTGAGAAGAAAGTGAGTAACTATCGAAAATTTGTATAGTGTAATTTTCGAGTGAGAAGAATTATTCTGTATTGCGTATTTCGTTTTTTTTCTGAAATGCATACAAAATTTATTCTCTTTGAAAGTGAGACGTTCAGTCAATAATTGAACTGCATAATTTTGTGTTTGTCCAAGGGATTAATAAAACCTATAAAATATTTCACAAGCTTACTAACATTCATAAATGCACGATCTAATATTTTACCAATCAAAACGATATCACACGTACACAACACATTCAAACACTGAAATTTAATAAACTCGAATTATCATTGTATAAATATCTAAGATCAACAGTATTCTTTATCATTCATCTCTGTTACAAAAATTTATTATAAAAAACAATATTGTTAACATAGATTTTAGTTGTGTACCAACATAAAAGTATTGGTTTCTATGATTTGGTATTCTATGAAAAGAAGATTTTATGATTAAAAGTGTAAAGTGTTTACATACATTAGTATGGTTTCTTTCTTATACCCGTACGAACGTATGTTCAAATGGTATAAAAAATTTGCCTTACCGTTTGCGATGCTAAGAAATGATAGTCTGAGATGCAGACCTAAGTATATGTATTTTTGATAAGCGTAGAATTTTGAATCGATTAAACAATGTCTGCCCTTACCAACGGTAACTCAAAAACTAATTGAGGTAAGGTCACCAAATTTTCACAAATGATTTATTATAGTAAATGCCAGAGCTTTATTAAAATTTATATATGATAGAGGTTTTAGTTCGAGTAGCTGCCATTATTTTGAGTAAAACTCTTTTAGATGGTATGAGTTTATATGGTAACTACCATATATGTATAAAATAGTACTAGACATAAGAAGCAAGAAGTTCTGAGAAACTGTGTGTCAATTAGTTCCGACATTTAAAATCATTTATTCGTGCGGGTATGACAAAGGTGACATGGTCAACTAAATCTATTCTGGTTTTTTTTTTGTTTCCTATACTTGAATAGAAATGGTAAAGGTTATTATCCTGGCAACATGATGGAGTTGTAGGATACACAAACAACATAAAAAAAAAATAATACATTTTTTTTTTTTATAAATTTAGGTATGTACGTGTTTGCTGGTTTGTTTTTACTTGTACGTGCGTGGATGTATCTGGTCTCTTGATATGTAAATATTCGTATCAAGTCTACGTCGTATCAATTTTAATTAAAGGTAAGATAAGAGTTGCAAAACATTCAAATGTTAAATTATTTATTTTTTCACATTGCATTTCAGTTATTATTTATAATAATGAAAGTATGAGAATTACTGTATGGAATTGTATGGAAGCCTGCAAGTTGTCTGTTAAATTTATGAATTGCGTTCATTAAAATGCAGTGTAAGTTTATCAATTTATAAGCTTAAAATTTCAATTAATTCTAAAATAAAATTATTTGTTCTCGGAACATAATTGCATCGAAAGTTTCAAAGACAGAGTTATATTAGAGTGCATTTTCCTCTCTGCAGCGTGAAAAAGAAAGGATAGATCACAATATTTTTTCGATTACTTCCACATAATCTTGGAAATTTTACATTTTAGAAGTAAATTCATAATTGTAATTAAAGGTCTCAAAATATGTAATTAAAGGTTTCAAGAATTATGACGAAAACGTGTAATTATAAAGAGCCCACAGTCGATTAATGAAAGCGTAACAGCTGCTAAGGAATATAAAAAGAATATTTTATACAAGGTTGTATTTAAAGCTTATCAGTTAATGGCAGTTCTCCAGTCTGTAAATACGATACTGAAAAGAATGGAAGAATAGCATACAACAGAGAATTGAAATCACTTAGAAATTTTTTAGATTTCATAAAAATTAAACTTGTTTTTCACATTATCGAAAATTTTTTTTAAAAAACATCAAAAATGATTCTTTTTTTGCTTTAGCTTAAATTTTAATTAATAATTCAGTATTTATACAAAAAATTCCTTGATCGTACACCAACCATTCTGAGACCAAAACTTTCCTTTTTTTTTTAAATTTATCATATATAAAAATTATATTTTGCCTTGCAGCAGTCTGCTAACATTTATAAGAAAAAATTTAATTTTGCAATTATTAAAAAACCCAATAAAAACAAAAACATGAGAGGGAAACAAACAAAAAACTCGAATCCATGTTATGTTTTTTTTGGTATGCTTATGATTTATTTTCTTCAAATTTACCCAAGTTAAACTAATTAGCTTCTATACTGACCCAAATTACTTCAGAGTCTCGAAATATTACACTTTTTATTCAAAATTCTTTATTATGGATGAAAAAAAATTTTAATATATTTTGTGGATCTTTAAACGTTTATAATACTAGGTTGAATTGGAATCGGCTAGGGATTTTGTTTATTTCTATTATAAGCTTCAAATATATTTTGATATTGAATTTGGAAACAAAGTGGTACTATTATTGACCACCCAATTGAAGAATTGGAAAGAATTTCCAAATTCGTTGAAAATGTTCGTGTACTTTGGAAAATTTTGTAATTTTTAAATTCGGAATTTCAGAATTTTTTCATGTAAGAATGATCCCTGCTATTTCAAGGTAGAATAATGTAAAATTCGGGCAAATTTTCTTAGATTTTCTGCAACAGTTTTGGTACGCTTTCAAAAAAACAGTTCCTCAGAATTCAGCTGAAATTTGTCTCATACACTTTTGAATTTTTTCAAAAAAATTGATTGTACGCCTTCGATTTGTGCATAATAGTTTTGAAAATGCTTTAAAGACGAATTGGAAACTTGAAATTTTTCAAGATAAGGCTGGTGTTATATTTTTATAGCTCCGCAAAAATTTCGGCGTAGAATATTTTGGAAATATGAGGTTAAAGCATCAATCTTGCAACATTTATGCAAAGAAGATTATTCATATTTTCTCATCATTTTCCAAATAATTTTCAATATTTTATTGAATTCATTTTATTTTTATTAAGATTATCCTAAAGCTTCACGTCCAAATTATTTTTAGCTACTCTTGATCCTGTAATACAATACAAGGTCCTTTTACATAAAAATAAAAAAAAAAATTTTGACGAAAAAAGATTTTAATTACGTTTATTTAATTTTACTTGTAATTCTCCGAATTTTTTGTTCCATGTACGAGTTTGTTTAAGGATTAACTTTTTATTTAAGGATATTCTAGATTTTTCTGGTTGAAAAAAAACCGAAAATTTTTGATATTTTTATATGAGATTTTAATAATGTTAAAATTTTAATAAATTTTTGTTGGAGTTTTTATGCTTTAAGTTTACAGATTTTTAAAAGCAAATTTAAAATTTTAAGCAACACAGTCTTATTTCTGTGCAATCGAATGAAATGATTTTCCTTTTAACAATCTAGCTATTCGAAAAAGCTGTGTAAGAACCCAAAAATTTAATAAGCATTTTGTGTCATATTTTAATAATCAACGCCGTGTACATAAGATCGGATTACGATTACATTTAAATTTCACAGATCTGTAACAAATCTGTTAAAGTTTTCTCATAGCAAAATATTAGAAAATTTCTGTAAATTCTTCAATTCTTAAAGACAAAAATATTTGTACAGGTATTTTGTATAGATGCATTTTACAAACTACGTATATATTAAATAATACTCTTTTTCTTACTATATATGCACATGTGTATTACATTGTACACCATTACAGTAAAATTCGGTTTGACACCTGGAGGCTTGCATATTTTATATTTATTAAAAATTTATTTAAATAAGGGAACCGAGTAAATTTTTAAAAAGCCAATTTTTTTGATTTGGGTTGGATAGATGAATGTACACATGTACATATGTATGTATACTTTATTTCCCCATGTGCACAAAGATATCTTATGTGCTCATAGTAAAAATAGTGAAATTATTGTACATGATTTTTTAATATTTAATATTTAAGGTTGAATGTGTATAAAGGAGGAAATTGGATTGTTGGAATGTCAAGAGTATAACGGTATACTGTTATGTAGGTACGCATGTAAAAATTTAAAACAATATTCTACGGCTTTCCTATATTATGTGAATACAAAAATTATGATTATTATGACAAGTAAAATAATAAATAAAGGAAATTACTTAGTCTTCTCATCAATTTGTGATGGGATTTTGGATAAAGGTAGAGTAAAAAGGCATCAATCACTGTCATACTCGAATTTCTGTGCATATATTGAAATACATAAGTATACGCACTATTTTATGAGCAAAATTAATATAGGTAATAAGTGAGTTATCAACAATAAATTTTTAATTGGAATTTTTGCGATATTTGTGGAAAGCAATACTTTGTATGCGGAATATTATCATATTATACATCTGCCACTGCCTAAGGATAACAAGGAAATAAAGTGCAGCTTTAAGAAAACCCTTTTTGCTGTATAACACAACCGATTGCTGATGGGTCAAAAACTTGTGTGAGAGCAAATGTGGGAGCATTTGGCATAGAATTTAACACAGAGCTCATAGGAATGTTCTCAAGCGTGTTTCAGGCTGATGTACACGCAGATATCCGATAGAATATTTATTTTCCAGGGTACAAAAAACAGAGTAATTTAAAAATAAATTAATATTTATTTAAATTAGAGGCCATATAAAATATTTTTAACTTACCATCAAAAAATAGTTAAAGTTTCGCTCACAAATTAGACCAAAAATAGTTTAGTTGCATTCTGAAAAAATAAAAGAAAATTACATTTTTTTTTTTCGAAAAGTTAAAAAAATATATTTTGAATATTTTCAGAAAGATCATCACTTCGGTTTGCATTTCAAGTTTTAAGATATTTAAAAAAAAATTTATCATTCCTACAGTCAGTCTGTTGCTTGCAGGTAGAAATACTTTTGCACATTTTAAAGGACGCAATGGTAGCAAGTGACTGCTTTTTTTTTGAAGTAGTTTGGATGATTTTTGTATTTGGAATTTTTTAATATTTCGCGATCTTTAGACAAAATGCTTTGTTAATATAGGTCAGCATATCATAGACAGAGTCCAATTAGATACAGAGTCCATCTAGTATTCATGTAGGCGGGACAATAAATCTGTCTTTGAAGGGTCTTTGAATCGGGGTGATAAGAGTTTCGGATGAAAAAAGATAAATTTGTAAATTTAAGAAATTTTTCCACAATTTGTCCAAAATAAAGTAGCCTTTATACATAAAGCATTTATTGCGTTTCGAGGAAAGTCAATATCTTAGTCAATTTTTTAATAAATTGACGATCCTCCTGTCACTGAGAAATTTGAAAATCTTTCATTATTTTAATAGATAATTGTTAACTTTAAAATTAAAAATTTCGAATTAAAAACTTTTTTTGATTTGTGCCACTTTTGTTGTAAACGGAACTCCTTTAAGGCTAACAAACTCTTTAAAAACCATAATAGGAATTGTGTATACCAAATAGCATAATTTATGATAACTTAACTCAAAGAAAGAAGACCATATTGTTTAATACTCTTGTATATACTCTTTTGAATGTAAAAGTTTCAAGACTAATCTTAAAAAAGCGAAAAAATGTAAAAACATCAAAAACAAAATAAAAAAAAATAGAAGTGTGTGTATTTGAGAAAAGAATTTATAAAATAGAATATTTTCGAAAATGTGCTTAGAGGCAATTAAAGGATTATGGAAAAGAAAATTTCATGGTAAAGAAAAACAACTTTTTAATTTAAAATGGAGAATATTTTTTATTCCTTTTTTTTCCTTGTTTTTGCTCTTTACTGATCAGAAGAAGACCTCTGTATAAATTAAATGGTTGTTTATAATAAAATGACGATGTGAAAATTAAAGTTAAAAATTTTGTAAATATATATGTAGAAAATTCGCAGAAGAGAAGGTCTTTAAAGCGAAATGTAATTAAATAAAAGACAACAAAAACCTTTTTTGTTTTTGTAATATTTTTCTTAACAAAGTATGCAGAGAAGCGAGCGTATTTCATTTACAAAAAAAAAAAAAAATTATTTTCTTGTTTTTTATCCTTGGGAAAGTTTGAAGCCCTGTTCATTATTTTTCTTTTTTTTTTGTATATTGTAGCAATCTAAATCGTCCTTGTTTCATTTATGTTTATCCTACGGTATTACTCTTTTGTTGTTGATTTTTTTTTGTTTTTTTTTTTTGTAATTTTCTCTTCCTACACCAAAAAAATTTTCACTTGTTTTGTTTGTTCTTTTTGAAAGAGAGAAGAAAGAAAAACAAATTTTTTTTATTGTTTTTTTCTTCCGATGTGGCGTTCTACTAAAAGTGTATTCGTTGAAGTTTATACGAACAAAGACGATAAAGTATTTCAATTGAAGTTCTTTAGGTCAACTCAGGGGTATCTATATTTTATAAAGTAAGTGGTTGAATTCTAGTATTAGTGCAAATAAAATGCAATTTAATAATACAAAAGAGGTTTTCTGTAGGTACAAAAATGATTAACACAAATTATTAAAAATATTGTAAATAATTTTAAATTTTAAGAATTTTATCAGAATAATTTACGATCTCAAATTTATTATATTGAGTAATGAAGACATTGTTTGAAATTTAAAGCTATAAATTAAAAGCTTGTTGCATGATGAAAAATTGTGACTGTCCAGGATAATACCGAGATTGACACTAAAAATAATCCTAAAATTACGAGTGTGAGACTTAAAATTCAATGAGGGTGAAAATCGAGCTTTTGAGTAATTTTACATCTTGTAATGTATCCAATTCTACCAAAATGTGCATCAAGACGACTGAGGATCAATATTGCTTACTGATCGCCATTTTAATTTTTCAGTTAGACAAAAAAAAACCAGGTAGTACGGTCGTCCTTTTTCGACAAAATATGTGATGGTATTAATTATATTCCACATGTTAGTGAAATAAATCGAAACTCCACAGAAAAGTTCCACAGAAGAAAACAAAAAAAAAAGTTACATTCAATAAGACAAGTGATCCAGGTGATACCTTAATTCACCTCATAAATTTGAAATTTTGATTTCTTCAAAACATCTTGGGCAGTTAGTGTGTTTCTTTTTAGTACAGCAAGTATTTTCAAAGATTATTCCTGATATCTCACTTTTTTCACAAACGAAAATTGGTTTCCAACATCAAATATAGCGAAAAGATTGCTTATAAGAGTTGTCAAGAAAAGCCATGCCCATTCTGGTATATTGGTCATTGAATAAAGCTCATACTATGTTAAAAGAAGAAACTGTGAATTTTCCCATATCAAAGTGTCATAATTTTCGAAAAACATAAAGCCACGAAGAGCAAAAATTTGAAAAAAAATTAATAAATTTATTGGAAAAACTAAAATCGTCCTTCTGTGCGTCAACAATCACCATTAATTCCAAAATTATAATGTACGTGAATCTTTCATACTAATAATTCTCTCTCCTCTTCGCAAACATTACAAATCTAATGTCTAATTTCATATATTTTATGTTTTGTAAAAATTTTTTTAATTTTTTCTTCTTGATTTTATGATGCTTATGATGACGTGTTAATGAGAAAATTGAAAAACCAACATTTTAATAACATTTTAACAAAGAAACAAAGAATTTAAAAGTTAACTGGTTCGGCTCTTGTGTGCTTGTTTGTGTAACAAAAAAATCTCTTCAAAATTGGTTCTTTTTTTTGTTATTTTTCTTGTTTTTTGTATTAATTTTAAAATTTGTGATCTTAATTAAATGGGTTTGTGTACTTGATAAATGTTTGAAGGGTGGCAGTGGCTTTTACGAAATAAAAAAAAACCTTTATCCCTCAAACAAATAAAAGAAAAATATTTAAGTAAATAAAATGTATAAGGTTGTGAAAAAAACCCATGTTTTTAACTTACATGAAAACAAATGGAATATTTTTTCGTTTTTTTTAACATTTAATTTAATATATAATTAAAACATTCCAACAGTTAATTATTTAGGATTATAACACAAGTATACAAAAGAAAAATGAATAAGGATTCAAGGGTTTCAGTGTAAGGCTACATTGGAGTTACGGTGTTTTTCGAGTTTTTTCAATTGTGGATTTTATAAAATTTTTTGTATATTTTTTTTCTTTGTCAAAAAATTTATTTTAAGAATTTCCTAAAAATAAATATTATTCTCTTACCCATTACTCTCGTATTTTAATCAAAATTTAAAAATTTTCCTTTTTAAGGACCTTACAAATAAATTAATTAACATGAAAATATTGTAAAAATCAAAATATATTGCTGTAAATAAATGTAGGTTTAAAAATTATTCTTTAATATTTTATACGAGTACTGAATGAAGCCAAATCTTTTAATCTTTTGTTATGAGAAATTTGTACTGAAAATTGAATACTCAATCTTTATGAACCATGTTAATTTATTTTAGGGTTAACCACAATATAGTGGGCTCTCCTGTTTTTTTTTTTTAAATAAAATATTGTCATAATGAAAACTGTTTGAGATTCTAGTAAATTTTATAGATTTTAGAAAATTTTAGTAATTTTTAGAGACTTTATGTAGAATAACCTTAGTATTGTAAGATGTTTGAGTTCTGCAATACCAGTAACGTCAAATGCAGTCCAGTAATTTACATTAAAATTATTTTGTGGGTGATTTTATAGAAAATTTTATGCCCATTCAAAATAGCAAAGGAAAGGGAAAAATTTTTATTTTTAGTGAAATTTTTAGTTTCTCTAACAAATTTTCTAAATTTAATATAGAGATACAGATAGAGATGTAATATAGAAAGTATCATTGTTCTTATTTATAATAAAAAGAAATATATTTAAATTTAAATGTCCGATGTCAAATTGTTCTATATTCTGAATACTTAAATTTAAATTATTACTCATAAAAATTCTGGGTAAATTCATGATGAATTTTAAAATTTGGTCCTCAATTTAGTTAAAAAAATGCAAATTAATTTCAATTCTTCTCAATTTTCAGAATTATTTAGTAAGCGCAAATTAAATACTAGAAGGAGAAATTAATTTAAATAAATTTCTTGAATTGTAGTTGCCGAAAATATTTTATAATCTTCTAAACATATCATGAATATTTTTGAATAACATAGGAAACCCTCTCTTTCGGAAAAATTATATTTGTAAAATTTTTAAATTCTTTAACAACAATAATAAATTCTATACAAGTTAGTGGAACTATTTTGTTATTTAGAAGTAAAATGTTGTCTTTAGAAATTAGTCCTTTTGAATCGATTCTTTTTTCCTATTAAAAAATAATTTGTTTTTTAGTAAAATAAATATTATAGTCATTATAGGGCGGATGTGTAAGGTGTACCTTACAGGTACAGAGAGGATTCATTTGATTCGATGTTGGTATAAAAGTTTTTGTTGAAATCTCGCTTCTTGAGAGTTTCTTTGACCTAGATTCAACTGAACTTGTTAAGTTTACCATAACTTTGCTTCAATAAAATTCTAAACATAATTTGTATCAAATATTATGTGTTTTCTTTTTTAATATTTTTGTGCTTTCAAAAGCGGAAATTTGTATTTCTTAATAACGCTTGATACCATATGCAATTTAAAATGCGGTTATTTAAGGTTTACCAATTTTAGTTCAGAAACATTATTGTTAAACAAATAGTAATTATAAACAAAAATTTTAAAATTTTTTGATAATTAATACAAAATTAAAATCTAAATTTGAAAAATTCTGCTCACAATAAAATTTATGCGAAACATAATTTTTCGACTTGCGGCGAATTTTCTTTTCCTTT